GCTCTGAGACGCAATCTGGTGCATTTTGGTTGCCCAAATGAAGCAGATGAACAGGCTTCACAAACACAAGAAATGACAACGTATTTAATAAAATGCAGCCCTTTTCTGTTACATCATATGAAATTTTGCAACAAAAATACGAATATGACCTATTTGATTCATCAATCACATAAATCTTTTGAGATATTTTAGCTAATAATTATCTAATAAAGCAGTCAGATAATTCAAGGCGAGAGTGGGGCATGGCTAAAACTCATCCTCAGAAACAGAGTCAAGGCCTGAATCTTCGTCTGATATGTTTTGTTCTGTGCAGTCTTCACCAGCCAAACCTAAGCTCTCTGCGACTATCATCTCTGCTTCTTGTTCTTTACTCTGTTCTTCTTCCTCCGCCTCCTTATTCAAGTCAATTACTATGTCAGTTTGGGTTGCAGCAGAGAAAAAGGCAGCACGTGGTAGTTCCGCATTCTCCTTTGGGGGTTGTCGTGGCTGGTTCACTCGTTTCAATTTGTACCTTGATTTGTCATTCAGCCAATGCTGTGAAGAAAGATAGCATATCTAAATGGAAGACGCTACATCAACAGCTAAAGGGAAAGTGACAATTTAATGAGCCTGTACCTTTGTAGCATCTTGAATTATGCTGTCTGCGTCAGCCAAGGTTGGTCCATTAATGGAAACTTGTAGGAGAACATTCAACATGTCATCCTTAAGCAAGCTTCGTAGGCTAAAATAAGGAAATTTCATATAGGTGTCAGGAGAAATAAAGCAAAATATAATTTTATTTTATTCTACTGATAATAACAATGCTACGGCATATTACCTTGTCTTAATTGGCTTTACAGCAGAAGCCCCCCTCTCTGGCCAAGCATTTGTGACAGGGGCTGAGTAGCAAATCTCTGCGACTTCAGACAGCAGTGGGTACTGTTTCTGAGAGTGGCATAGCTGCCTCAAAGAAAACTCCATGTCCTGAGTGAGAAAACGGGAAAATGGTAGTCATTATCAATACAGTAACACGAAAGTTATACGAACATTAATACATTCTGACCACTCCTTTTAGGGCTGTGTACACTGCAAATGTTATTATCTTTCTCGTGGTTTTCAAGTTCATAAATGACCTACCCCCTGAAAGTCAATGAGATCAAATTTGAAACGATGCCATTCTGCCATGAACTGGTCCACATCATTACTGAAAAAGTGTTTGGCCAACAACATCACATCTGCCTCCCCATAGCTTTTGAAGTCCGAATGTTCCTTTCTAGATTAATAACGATAATAATAAAAGCTTCATTAGTACTGCAAACTAGCTGAGCTGATTTTCAAAGGTTAAAATTGCATTTGCATATTACTAAACTAAGTGTAACTTCATGAATTGTAACGGAAATAACCCTCTCACTTAATAGATAAAAATACATACCTAGGTATAAGCCCTGGATGGAAAACTTTAAAGGCAGAGAAGATGTCTTGACATTTGGAGAACCGCTTGTCGATGTTCTGAATCAAACTTGTCACATATTTAACTTTCAGGTTGGCCAATCTTCGCTCATCTGATTGTGTAAGCTCAATGTTAGTAGCAGACAGGGGACCATTCCTAAGATCAGCAGTGAGGTTTTTGATGAACTCTGTTTTCTTTGCTTCCTCTAGTAGCTGATTCAGTTGGGCCTTTGCGTAGCCAATGCTGCCTTTAATGTGGGCATATGACAATTCGCCTTTCTGAAAGGTCTTGCTGAGGGTACTAAGAATGGGAAGCACCTCACCAAGCAGATATAGGGTTCCTAGGAAGTAGCCTGAGTACATCTTTTTGTACAGTCCTCCAGCTGTTGCACTTTCGGATTCCAGCTCCTTTAGAGCCAAGAGGAGGGGGTAGATGCACTTCTTGACAGATTTCACTGATGCCTCAAAGCTAAGCCAGCGGGTCTTGCATGCTTTCTGGAGCTTTGTTGCCACGGCCTTTTTCCCTTTTGCACTTAGTTGTACGGTGTTGACGTTGGCTTGTATCTTGATGAAAGTCGCCATTTTCTTGGGCGAGTTTTCAAGAAGCTGCCAGACCTGCCTAAGGCAGTTGTGAACGTTGTCGATGTATTTCACATCGTCTTCTTTACTGGTATCAACAGTTGCCAAAGCTAGTCTATGACAGACGCAATGAAAGGTGAGAATTGCAGGGAAATCTCTGCGAAGAAGTCCAGCCAAGCCATTTTGTTCTCCTGTCATTACTGATGCACCATCAGTACAGACTGAGGCAAACTTTCTGGTGTCTAGGGATTTATTTTCCAAACCTTGAAGCACAGCTGCCTTTATGGTCGGAGAATTCGCACTAGAGCTTTCGCCACTCAAAAGGTTAGTTGTAAAAAGGAACTTGGTGTGTTTAGAGGCTTTCTTATCTACATACTGGATGAAGCAGATCATCTGCTCTTGAACAGCAATATCTGTAAGGTCGTCTATGAGCAGTCCAAAACATCTGGCGGCCTGAGCATCTGGCAAAAAGGAGTTACAAACCGCATCTCCCAATGCTAGCATCATTTCTTTTTGCACTCGTTGACTTCTGTGTTGGAAGTACTTGATCTCTTCACCCCCTTGCAACGCTACAAGCTCATTTAGATGGGCTGCTTTCCTATTCGATATCTCCTCTTTCATCAGGAAATATAGATTACGCATGACGCATTCAATTGTTTTTGCCTCCGCAGCTTTTCTGTTGCTGACTTCTCTCTGGAAAATACTTCCCCTCTGTGTGTGTTCAAGTTGGATAACTTCATTGTGTGTTCTACTGTTGAGATGCCTCACCAATGCCGAGGACTTGAACCTCACTGAGGGCTCTGCAGAGAATTTCTCTTGCTTATTTTGTGTAGAGTGGACATTGTGCTTCTTGCACAGGATACAATACACCCCTTCACCTTCTACAAACACAGGCCACCAGTATCCGCTTGCTGCACAGTAGGCAATGTCAGCTTTGCATAGCCATGCGTGATTAAACAGCTTTTCTTTCTTCTTGCCCTTGTTTGCTTCTAGCTTCCTGGAAATCTCTTCTCTACTGAAGGTACAACCCGCATCACAGATATCGTGGTGATGAATTCTTGATTTCTCTCCAGGAAAAAGGTCTTCCAACATCTCTTGTGTAGGCATTTTAGATTGATTATCCAATGGTTTTTTGCTTACGTTTGTTACAGGCACAGCAGATGGACTTTTTTCTACTGAGGGAACTTTTTCCACATTTTCTGCTGATGTGTAAGGCAACGGAGCACATCTATCATTAGAGTCAGCTTGTGGTGCATCAGACTGTGTGAGATCTGCAGATGTGGATGCATCTGATGAAAGAAAGTTACTGTTATGTTAAGATAATGAAAAGTGTAATTGTATTTATACAGTAAATAAGTGTTGTCAAAATGTTTTCTTGCCTGACACCCGTTGTTTTTTGGTGAAAAATGTCTGAATCCCGGCCTGTTTGGAACATTGTCTCTTTTGGCTCATGTTCGAGAACTACACTGTGATGTTGCACTGCAAAAGTAATGCATAATAATAATGATATCTTTACTTATATAAGAAGTCAAGGATATAATTTATCAACACCTCCAATAGGCATCGTTTTTTCTTTACAACCAAAGAGAGTCTGGAAGTTCGCTTGCAGCCTCAAAACAGACTGGGCACGACTGGTTCCAAATATGGCACGTTGATTATGCAATCGAGCACATGGCGACAAACAGCGACAAACAGCAACAAACAAAGTGGTTGTATCTTCGCCCGTTCATCCCTCAGGCAATACCGGGCACGTTACTAATAAATATTAATGTAAAACAACACTCGAATCGATCTGGAAGAATTTCACATCAAGATATTAACACAAGAATCAAACAGATCAAAGGTGAACAAAAACACGAACATCACAAAAATATTTCGCAATTTTATCCCGCACGATCGGCTTATCACTTTACTTCGGTTTATAGCTTGACCCGAGATAATATTTTTTATGCTTTCGCTTGGTGAGAATAAGTAGTTCCTAGTTAAAGTATATCTGTTTAAACTAAAACAGTGAGAAGCCGAGAAGTCAAGAAGATAATTGACCTTTCAAATAGTGATTAATTATTGTCTGCGTTAAATTTATTTTGCTTCGAATTCACGAAAGCTAAATGAAGCGTATTTGAAATGAAAAGGCGACACACCTCATAAACAAAGGACCATTTTGGTTTAATAAATTGCGATGAAAGCGCTACATTTCATTAAGTGATGAATATTTATGAGAAATGCAGAAATAAAACAATTTACGTACCTTGAAGGGATGCCAGTGATGCGTGACTTGACAACGCAAACTTGCATTAATGAACGTCACGTACCAGTACACGCGTAAAAATTCCTCTTCGTTTTCGCGAGTTTCTTCGGAGGAAATATGTACTCCTCATCGATTTCCGTTTCTTGCACGTCATTGTCAGACAACATACAAAGCGTTTATTCTTTATCTAAAATATTTTAAATTATTTACCAGCAAGGATGCTTTTAGTTGCCGGCGACGGAGCCGTTCGCAGGCGGCGAAAATCGCCGGTCGCCGGCCGAAAAGGAAAACCCTGT